GTAAGTGTTTTACGACGCTCGCAAATGCAAGGTCATATGAGCGCGCGGGACACATTAAACATTTTCAGTTCGTATTTTGAATTTTGCCCGGGTGACGGCCGAAGCCTACTCTTATCGATTTTGGGCCACCAAGTTATCACAGTGCACAACTTGCACACGGGACCTCCGAGATTTTTCGCCCTTGTCCGAGAAGGCTAGGTGTAGATCTTTCCTACCAGAAGATCAGGAGTGTGGCTGAAATACAGCAGTATGAAGGAGCAAAGGAGTAGCAGTAGAAAGGCTGCAGAAAGAGTCAGGAGTCCAGAGGAGGAGGCAAAGGAGGTGAGGGGGTGGGGACAAAAAGTGGAGACGAAAGCAGACGACAGAACATTGATAAAGAGCAGGACAGGGTGTGAAAGGAGAAAATCTTGGAGAAGAAAATTTTTCCCGTAGCTATCCGGATTCGAACCCGGGACCTGCTGAATGAGAGGTGAACACCTTAACCTCTAGGCCATGAGAGTCCCCTAACATAGACTACCCTTGTTCTCTCTCTCTCTCTCTCTCTCTCTCTCTCTCTCTCTCTCTCTCTCTCTCTCTCTCTCTCCTGGAACACCCTGTGACCCTGGACGAGCAATAAAAGACTGCGACACTGCGAGTGAGATGAACCTGTCCACATTCCACACCATAACCAGTCGCTTTTAAGTACAAGCGGGTCTACCGTAACCCAGATTTTGGGGGTTTCCAGAAACCTTGACCTACACCAAAAGTGGGCATTGCCCCTACCTCTAGGAGAAGTTTGGTTTCATTGGTGTGTATATTTTTTTGGTTATAGAGAAAATTCTCCTTGTCTTTTAACTTAAAGAAACTGAACAAGGGGCAAAAACTTTACCTTCGATTTTCTCAAAACAGCATTTTTCGGGATAGCCCCTTTGTGTTTAACCCTATCCGTATGCCTTCGGGTCATTTTGTCCCCGGGGTTGTATTCTTCACATTTTAGAATACTCCTGGTACGAAGATCTCTTTGAAACTTTCAGTATTTCTCAAAAAATTATTTTGACAGACTGCTATGCAAAGCGTACAGATCTAATTAACGAGAAAATTTCCTCTTTAGAAAGTGGTGGCACAGAGTTCCCCACGTCGTATGGATACGGTAGTACAACACGGCGTACGGATAGGGATAAAAGCGACCAACAAAGAGTGGTAACTTTGTAACACCTCGACATGAGTCACACACAGCTTGGACCAGTGCTTGCCAACCTCAGCGATATCCCCCACACTAAGAGTGGGCCATTTGTTAAGTATTTGGAGAGCGGTGGGGATCACCCATGTGTAGTGACATGTATTATCTAATGCCCTGACTTGGTAATACATATATAGGTGGGTGGTTAGTACAACAATTTTAGACTTTTAAAGAGAGCAAAAGAATATAAAAAGTCCATACACTGACATTTAAAAAAATAGTTTTTAAGTGTGTAAGAAAGGAAGAAAAAGTCTTGTTGGGAACAAATGTCTGGAGAGATTATTAACAACAGAGCTAGTTTAGTTACCATGAATGTATTGAAAGTCTTTTTTTTTTTTAAACATATTAACTTCTTAGTGTAAGACTCCACCAAATGCCATTTGGAAAATTGAATACAGACCTGTCACTTTATGAAATCTAAAAATCACGATCTCAAGGGGGGAAAAATGGGGAATTTGGGAGAAAAAAAAAACTGGGATCAACGACAAATCACCAGGGTGAATACCAAGATGACTTAAAAATTTTCCAGGGGTGTCCATAAATATAGGAAGGCAGAGTAAGTTTTAAGAAAAATCCAGCGCAATAGACAGAACAGAAAAATTGGGATATACGCAATCGAAATTCGGGAAGCTTGAAATTTTTGGGGAAAAAATTGGGATATCCCGATTAAATCGGGATGAGTTGTAGGTTTGTAAATATGACCGAGTCCTACACTAAGAGGCCAATATGCTGCTCTTCAGAGAGTTTAGAAATATAATGGCTCCAATGTTGGTGTGGCAAAATCATATGTGAGGTATCATGGTGAAATCAGGCACTTGTCAAAATAATGAAATTGGAGAAACAAGCATTTTTCCATCAGTTTGTCAATTTTTATCGAATTCATTTTTTTAGCTCAACACCTTTTATAACCATACAAAACACATTTCCATAAATGTGAAATTGACTGAAAGGTGTTGATTAAAGACATAAAATGCAATGCAATTTGCAGTTTTCAAAGGCTTTCCAGCTATTGAAGTGACAGAATTTTGGCGGCCAGTTTCTTGCTAATTGTGGCGTCGGTGGCCTAGTGGTTAGGCTCTCGGACTCGCAACCGTAAGGTCGTGGGTTCGAAACCCGTCAGGGGCCCGACGTTGTGTCCTTGGGAAAGGCACTTTACACGAATTTTCCTCACTTCACCCAGGTGGGAATGGGTACCCGGCTATAGACAGCGAAAGATCTTGTCAGTTTGTTAGTGTTTGAGCGCTTAATCAGCTGCTTGCACTATATGCTTCACGGGAAGCTGAGAACGTTTCGGAGTGTTCTATGGTCTGCTAAGGTAATAATATAGTGTAAAGCGCATAGAGCCGGCTGTTGAGCGGGGATATGCGCTATACAAATGCTATCTATTATTATTATTAATTTTACCACTGAAATCAGGCGACCCCACCTCCTTCAATCACTAATATCTCGACTTCTATTAATGATACACATAGCTATTTTTTTCATTGAATACAAGGCGAATGAATAAGCTTTTAAATCATACCAATAACTAAAGATTCCCATAAATTGACGAGCGCCTGATTCCACCGCGTAATGACACATATATTATGATCAGACTTCCCTAAAGCAGCCCCTGCTGTATAAAAGCAAACTGCAGAAAACAAACTCCAACTGACCTTGGGGTCGTCCTCCCCTAAGACACAGGTGAGCTCTGTCTCCTCAAACCCGGTGGGCTTCATCCTCTGCTCGAGAGCATTGCCGGAGGACGTGCTGCCCGGTGGTGGGTCCGGGGAGTTCAGGCATGTCTGGATGAGAGCCTTCCCGCTGTCACTTGTGATCATGGGCTGCAACTTCCTGGTGGCGAATGTGTACACATGACCTGTCTCGCTGGCCACCAACAGCATCACCTGCGTGCCCGTCAAGGTGGACAGTTCATAGGCCTAACATGAAAGGAAAATACACACATGATTTGACAAATTATTCCACATGTCCACATTGACACTTTATATATATATATATATATATATATATTGTCTTATCCCTTTCCCCATTTCTCTTGAAAATAGATTTTCTACATTTCTTAACTCTTTTGGGACATTTCAAACTGTTCAGAAAACACCAATGACCTATTTCTATTATTTTTCCCAAGGGTGGTTTTTTTTAATGACTGTGAATTTCATTTGATCTTAGTAAGAGTTTTACGGCACTTGCAACACAATAAGGTCATACCGAAGGTTAGAGAGGCGTTATTTAAGAGAGTAACAAACAAAAAAGAAGGAGGAGAGATAACGATGACATATTTGATAAGAAAAGAAGAATCAAACCAAACCAGAGCATCCACCAACTACCATAGACTGTTAATGAATGTGTATGCGTGTGTGTTCTAAGAGAGGAAAAAGAGAGAGAGAAAGAGAAAGAAAGAAAAAAAGAAGTGGGGGGGGGGGGGGTTACTGTTCTGTTTGTGTTTCTGTTTGAACTGACAATTAAATTATTAATAAAGGCAAACAATAAACTTTCCTAGGTCAGAATAGTTAAAAGAAAGTACACATGTATAATATCTTGCTGAAAATGTAACTGGCCTCAAAACGAACCCCCGTGAACCTCGTCGTTTTTCTGTTTTCAACAACAAAACGTTTATTAGACCAAGTACGGTACACAAAGTTGGTAGCAACTTTTGAACAACACCAAACAAATATATGCCATAAAAACGATAAAGCACGAAACCAAATGTTGAGACAAATGCGATTAAGAAACAATTGTTGGTTGCATTTGTCTACAATACACATACCAAAGGCATCTAATACTAATGACAAATACAATTTTCATTTTACTGCGTTCTTCAAAGACTCAAATTCGAACATCATAGTAAATCTGACTTACCTTCTTCATGATCCCCGTTTTTCTCTTACTGAATGTTGTGTATCGCCTGAGTTTGTTTTGAATGAATTCCATTTTAATTTTAACTCGTCCTTTGGTCTTTTTCCCTGGTTTGAGTCCATTGTTGGAAACACCTTGCTGGAAAGGGAGGGTCTGATTGACCTGATGAAGGCCTGAGGTGTCCGAGTCAGAGTCATCATTTTCGTCGTCCAGACTCGGATCTACTTCCTCAAAAATAAAATTGTCAGGAATCGCTGACGTTTGACCATTGTTGGGAACGTAAATGTTGCCACTGTTTCCATTGATTCCAGACATTCCGACACTCCCGACTTTACTGACAGAAATACTGTTTTGAGACATGTTTTGCATTTCGCTTTTAGAGGCCGCGTGTTTACTATCATCTGTACAGTCTCGTAGCGTTCACCATAACGGGAATAGTGCCCATGTAAGCACATCAAGTCCATCCGCGAAAAGAAAACCTGTAACGGAAATATGTCGGCAATTCGCTGTTTTCATGGATTTTACACATTAAAATACGTTCAACTACAAACAAAGTACATAAATCAAAGCACTAAATTGTTTGATAAAGTCAGAGACATATGGAAATAGGAATCGGGTGCGCGGATTAATACATACTATCGTTTTCTATACATGGGAAAGGCCATTTTTGGAAAAATACTGCTGCCATATAAGGTCGCCGCGGCCAAATAAGGCCACCATGAACAAATAGGGAAGTCCACTCATTTCCAGAATGATAACTACCTGCTTATTGATCTCACTCGTTTGGGAACAAAACACGCGCTCAGCGGAATTGAACACGCACTACTTTGGAAAAACTTGTACACCGTGAAATGAATTGTTATTGAGTTTGTTTGTTTTTGACACTCTGTTGCCACATTTTATACAGCAGGAAGGGATCCCGATAGATTAGATTATTATAGGCCTCTTCAGAGACAATGCACAATTTCTCCGGGTTTGTTTATTTCCCAACACAGACTTTTGCGCATATGTTATCTAAATGGAGACTCGTGAGTCAACGCTAAATTTGTTGATGCAGAGTATATGAATCATTTCTTTTCAAAACACAAAATGAAGCCATTTAAGGTAATGCATTATAAGATTATAGACTTCGTCCTCATTCGAAGCATTATATAGGGCCTATTCGTCACTAAGCAACTGTTATCTACTATGAACAAAATGTATTTCAAATGTGTATAGGTATGCTTTGATTGCAGCATAGAGATCCAAAATAATTATAAGCGCAGGTGAGGTCATCCAAAGAAAAGTATTCTCTATTATAGTTATTGCACCTTTCATAACATCTCAGCCAGGGTGTTTAACTCTCATTAATCTAACCTCTTATTTATTGAGAGAACATATAATCTCAGATTCGAGCCGGCCTTCAACTTTAGATAAAAGATTAGGCTAGTTATAATCAGTCTTTCGAAAATGAAATGAACCAAAAGCGATTTAATGGTATAATTGCATCATACATTTCTCAAGCCACATATCGATCTGTATCGATGCTGTAGGCTTTTGATCAATAATACAAATTCAGGATAATTTTAATTGGTTTAAAATGTGAATTAGTACGTAGTAGTTTATGTAGCTGTGTAAAAGTATGAAGATGCAATTAAAGCCTACCATTATAACGCTTTGGTTCGTTTCATTCTCGAAAGACTGATTTTAACTAGCCTATCTTTTATCTACAGTTGAAGGCCGGCTCTAATGTTTGTTCTCTCCATAAAGAGGTTAAATTAGTGAGAGAGTAGAAATTCCAGCATGTAACAAAACACATCGTTGCTGAGCAGACGACAAACACACCCATGTCCATGCAGAGACAAAGTGTTAAGCATTTCTACCACCCTTTTCCCTATAACAAAGCTTGTTTTTATTTTAAGCGGACAAACGCCACACAAAAATCAGCATGACTTGTATAGGCCTTTAGGCCAACGCATGACCACAAGGAAACAGCGTACGTAACGTTCGCCTCGGGCAAGGCCAGTTGCAAAGAGAGGGCGTAGCCCATTGAGCTTTTGTAAAACTTTAATTTGGAACAATTCACACGCATAACGTTTACAGAAGCTGGAGCACCATTCGTGCTAAGCCTGTGCAAGAGTCTACAAAAAAAAAACATTTAAAAATGGGTACAAATTTACTTGAGTCCTCCATCGAATGACTCCAGATGTAGGCTATGTAATTAGCGTCAGAGATGGAGCATATAATTCATCTCATACTTGTTGGTTCGTTTGGTCGTTCATTATTTTAAAAAATTTGTTTGTTGTTTTTTGTTCTGGAAAACGCACATCAGAGTTTAGATTCTAACAAACTTGCTCAGAAGAAGGCTCACTGGAAGATTTTTTGTTAATTCCATCTTTAAGGAACATAAAAAGGAAGAAAAATAACCCCCCCAACAATTTTTAAAAAAATTAAGAACAGAAGCTTTGTTGACTCCCTTTGGAAGTTATATGCATAAAATTATTCCCTCTTACTTATAACGTAACAATGTGAGTAAATGAGTAATACATGTAACAGACGTGTCGACGTTCACCTTAATTTGTGCATCACTTTTGAGTTTTTGTTGTTTCATTAATTGTTTTGTTTTGGCCTGATTATAATTGTTTTGTTTGTTGGGGTTATTTTTAGTTGGGGAGGGGGCTAGTTTGGTCTAATAATTGCTACTCCTGTTGTTGTTGTTGGGTGGGAGGGAGCAGCAAAGATTGCCAAAATATGGCTCAAGGGCATATCAACCCTGAGATCGCCTGTGCTTTTCATTTGTAAAAGCAAATTTCTTGATAAGTCACCCACTCAACTGCCAAGGTAACATGTCAAAAGCGTACATAAGCTGGCATATTTTTGTCTTTTCTCTTTACAATCGTCTTAGTTTGGTTTTTTTAGTGGGGTTTTTTTTTGAGTGGGGATGATCAAAATTGTATGAATGAAAAAACTGGAGCTGTGTACGTAGAGTTCAGAAGGGGAACTGAATATAAGGATACACTTAAAACTGTACCGGTACGTATTGCTATGCCTAAATATCCAGCCTATATGCTTCCTTGTATAAAAATCAATTAAGATAAATTCACAAAACGGAAAAGTATGAAAAGACTAAGTAAATAACGTATCAATCACTAAACAAATGTATAAATTATGTATTCTGTTCAACTCTTGCCTGCCAGATTGTGATAGCGACAGTGAGCAAAAGACGCCCCGTAGACATAGTTGTATAAAACATCGTTGGGAGTAGCATTGACCCAAAGGTCAACAGTCAGCGGTCAGAGTTCGTATTATCGTTTTTGCAAGGAGATCGCGAAAGGAGGAACCCAAGTTCGTTGAACAGGAAAGATCCAGCTATCTTCGCTTTCAATCATGAGTCAACAAGTTGCCACGAAAAAGCTCATCAATGAGGTACAAAGGAATCTATATATATGCAACCACATTTTGAAGGAGAATACCCCTGAATGTGCTCTGCAGTGCTTGTTTTCACAGATGGCTCGTTTGTAGAAACCGAAAGTAGGCCTAGCGAGTTGGGTGATTGTCAAAAGATTCCTTCATAACAGGACTTCTTTAAGCTCTTCCTGGGGCTCCTGTCCTTGTGGAAGTTACGTTCGCAGTTTAAGGATCTCAACTTGAATAACACTGTTTGCTATTAAGTATTTGGAAGGCAGGAAAAGGTCCTGTCAGCACTGAGGTCAACCATGCAGAAGTAAGTTGGCCATGGCACTTGTCTGCCTCCGACTACAGTACTACAGTCTGGATAATGTCAAAATAAATGTGACCCCTTGTTGGTCCATGCTCCCTGATATCTTCTGAACTATTCCAACTGCTGTTGAAATTATCAAAAATTTAAGGTCCACTCATGACTGTCGAGAAAAACAATTGTCTTAGACTTAGACAGATTAGCATGATCTGCTCTTAAACAGTGTCACATATAATTATATATGAAAATGTAAGGGAGAAAATGAAAAGTGGCTGTTTGTACAGTTGATTGTCTAGGACAGGTGGCTATATATTAGAGAGGGTTGGACTTATTTATCTGGTGTCTGCATGAGGGTATAGTTCACCATAGTTCTCTTTGTACGTATAGTATAGTCAACTGTCTTTATATAACTTCTTCTTAATTGCCTCTTCCTACTGTCTTCTGCATCTTAACATATTGCATGCAGACTCTGTACGATACTTAACTGAATTGCAAGATGTTTGAAACAGAAATTTCTTGAAGTATCATTATTATAATATGATATGTGTTTTTATTCCATCTAAATCTAAATCTATATATATACCCATATATTTTCCAGGTGTCCAATTGTGAACGTGAGTGCAATGAAGGTCTGGTGGCTGTCCACCCAGGGCTCAGTTTGGTCGACGGTGAAACGGTGGTCGTCCGCTCAGATGCCGCCGATGTGACAGCAGCCAACAAGGTCATTCTGATCAGTGGCGGAGGCTCTGGGCACGAGCCTGGACATGCAGGTGAGCTCCACACGGACTAACTTCATTTTAGTGTTACACAGCATTGACCCTTTTCATGTTCCTTCTTCTGCTTTGTCAGACTTTCAAATCTTTTAATAGAAGGCAGATTTTTAATTTTATGATTTCAAATCTTTTATGAGAAGGCAGATTTTATCATTTAAAATCTTTTATGAGAAGAGACTCGAGATTAATGATTTACTGATTAGTCCTTACTGCTATCTAAAGTTGACGATGGATTAGTATTTCTTAATGGTTACAGAGAATTAAGTTGCGAATGTCATTGAGAAAGTTTTATTACTTAAGCAAAATTACTTGCATCTGTTTAAGTAAACATTGGCCTGCAACCCTTTATATAGTTTTAAATTCAATTCTTTTTTAAAGGGACTGGAATAGGAAAGACATTTTAATACTGGTGTTTTTAACTAACAAATTGGTTTCATCTCTTCTTACAAGTAAATTATTAGCGTGTTATAGAAACTTTTTTAGCTGGTACTAGTGTCCGTGAAACTATTGGTTAAAGGGCGCTATTGGTAGGTCCTTATTTCCCCTTTGTTTTTGCTGTCTGTCTGTCTGTCTTACTGTCCCCCCGTTATTGTGTTGATTGATGTGCTTTTCCTTATTCCTGTGTTGTGTTTCCTACCTCAGGGTACACTGGCAAAGGAATGCTGACGGCCAGCGCTTGTGGCTCTGTGTTTGCCTCCCCTCCTCCCAAATGTATCATGGCCGCCGTGGATGCTGCGTGTGGGCAGAATAAAAGTAAGCAGCTCACGCTAGGTCGAGATGGTTCCAGGTTTTATCTTTAAGTCTGAGCTCATCCTTTCTATGACGCTTTACTAGCTCAAAAGACAGTTGTGCTCAAAGTTCCTTACAGCCAAACCATAGAATTCCTTTCGTACATATATAGCCTGTCATCTCAACAAGTTTGAGTTCAGAGACGCTAATGGTCTCTTGTCATTTCTCACTTCTTTGTTTGATGTTTTCTTACATGAATAATCTGTCGAAATTGTTTAAGTTTACGTCACTCATTGTCAAGGAGAAAATTGGCCATTTTAGACAGATGGAACCAGCGGTAGGCAATGGGAAACCACTGCTGTAACCTCCCAAGATCAATCACAGAAAACAACCTGAATAGACATAAAGGTCTTAAACATCTAGCTCTCACTTGCAAAATTGAAGGCAAACAAGGCAGGGGGAGGCCCAGAGCCACCTATTTAGGGAACGTAAACAGACAGGAAAAGATCAGGGTAATGTAGCTTTTTTTTAAAAGTAAGAGCCTCCAAGCAAAGGAGTGAATGGAGAACCATGATAGCTGATGTCTGCTGCAGATCTGGCACTGGTGGATGATGATGAGACAGGTGAACATCTTACATAGTTTAATTATAATGTGAAACCCCACAAGAGGGGAAAATGGGAAGTGGCTGTTTGTACAGGTGATTGTCTTATACAGGTGGCCGTTGGAGCAGGTTCAACTATATATTGATGAGGAACCCTCTCATGTGGCTGTAATAACCTTGTTCCTTACTCTCCATCAAATGTTCCAGACTGCGCTGTAATGATGATTGTCACCAACTACACCGGTGACCGACTCAACTTTGGCATTGCCTGTGAACGAGCCAGGGTGAAAGGTCACCAGACAGAGATGATCGTGGTCGGGGAGGACTGCGCGCTGGACTCTGTGGATCATTCTGCCGGCAGGAGAGGTCTGGCTGGAACCATGTTTATTCATAAGGTATTTCGAATTTCCAGTAAAAAAAAAATGTTTGACCCTGACAGAAGTATCGGGATTACAGATTTTAATAAAAGTGTGATAATTATGTTTGTCAAAGACAGCATTATATTCATCCCTATCCGTACGTCGTGTTTTACTATCGTATCCATACGACGTGGGGAACTCTGTGCCACCACTTTCCAAAGAGGAAATTTACTCGTTAGTCCTATACGTACGCTGTGCATAGCAGTTTGTCAAAATGATTTTTTGAGAAATACTGAAAGTTTCAAAGAGATCTTCGCACTTGAAGAATTCTAAAATGTGAAAAATACAACCCTGGGGGTACAAAACATTAGGCATACTTCCTATTGGCGATTTGCTTTGTCCTCAAATATATGAATAGGACTGAGGGGAGAGGGATAAAGGGGTAAAGGTTCTTAAGGCGAGATGTTGTGGGGACAAAAGTGGTTGCCTAAGACAAGTGGATTTCTTGAAAAGTGTTGTAATATGAAAAAACACAAAGGTGGAAGTGGGAAGTGATCGTTTTTACAGGTGATTGTCTAGGGCAGGTGGCCTTTACAGCAAGTTGGACTGAAGTTAAAACAGTTGTGTAAATGGATGTCTCATGGAGATCTTGTTTTCATTACTTTGCGGCAGATTGCAGGGGCAATGGCAGAGCAGGGCATGGGTCTGGCTGAGATGACGTCAGAGCTCAACAAAATCAAATCCAGAATGGGTATGTACCAGTGTGAAGATTTGTTAGAACTGCGTTTAGAATTGTTCTTTATATTTATTTCAAGAGCTGAAGTTTAAAAGGGGATGTCACTAACTTTATTCGTCCTCACAAAATTGTGAAAGACCAAATTAACATAGAATGTTTTTTTAATATGATAAATTTGCAAGGGTGATAAAGTCAATTCCTTCAAGCTGCTAAGCAAAATTAAATATGAAGACAAATTGTTCAGTTGAGATTTCAACCCCATCCATATGTCGTGTTTTACTATTGTATCAATACGACCTGGGGAACTCTGTGCCACGACTTCCAAAGAGGAAATTTATTCGTTAATTCTATCCGTACGCTTTGCATAGCAGTCTGTCAAAATGATTTTTTGAGAAATACTGAAAGCTTTAAAGAGATCTTCGTACCAGTAGTATTCTAAAATGTGAAGAATACAACCCCGGGGGTACAAAATGACCCGAGGGCATACGGATAGGGTTAGATAATACTTGAGCTCAATGATACTTCTCTCTCCCCCCTTCTCCCAGGTACGATGGGCGTGTCCCTCTCCCCTTGCTCAGTCCCCGGGTCTGGCCCAAACTTCACGCTACAGCCGGATGAGATGGAGCTCGGTCTGGGTGAGTAGATCAGGGACAATTGGTCTGGGTGAGTAGATCAGGGATAATTGGTCTGGGTGAGTAGATCAGGGACAATCGGTCTGGGTGAGTAGATCAGGGACAATTGGTCTGGGTGAGTAGATCAGGGACAATTGGTCTGGGTGAGTAGATCAGGGACAATTGGTCTGGGTAAGTAGATCAGGGACAAGTGCCAGTGATCCGTGATTGTTTCTGTCTGGGGCATTTTTTGGTGATGGGCTGAGTGGAATTTGGACAAGTTGTTTTGTTTAGTTTCCTGCTACTCTCAGGAGGGAAAAAGATTGAAGAGACTGGCTTTAAAAGGTTTTGCTGTAGTTGTCTCTGTGTTGGGAAATGAGAAATGCTTTTAAAAAATACCTTTTGATGTGTGTGATTGTCATAGACAAACAGTGCTCTGGCGATGCCTGTCTCTGTCTCCCAATCGACACACGCGCATTCCCATGTCTCTTTCTTCTGTTTTGCCATCTTGAAGTGCATAAAGCTTGATGATCTGCATTACTTGGGGGTTGCCAATGAAGATTTAGATGACATAACCCTCGAAATTCTTTTTTAGTTTAGAAAAAGGAGCATTTGAGCTAATTGACAGTTTTCTTAGAAAGGAAAAGAAGAAAAATAATCAAGGGTTCTATTTTCTATCAGTTTACGGCTGTTTTCAGATTGATGGTATTTGGTTTAGGTGTAGCCCACTCCACTGTATTTTCTGTTGGTGGTGAGGGAGGTACAGTTTTTTGTGAGCGAAGTGACGGAATGGACGATAGTACTTGTCTCCTGGATCATCGAAAGGTTATTTGTGCTTTGTGTGGCTAGCTGGGTGTATGTGTGTGCAGTTATTAAGGGAAAAAAAATACCTTTTGTTTTAGGAAGGAGGAAAGTTTCGCAAATAAATGGTAATACACATATATATATTGTAGATGTTTGTCTCGGTGTGGTGAAATAAATTTCTTTGTCAAACATTTCAGGAGTTCACGGTGAAGCCGGTGTGAAGAGAATCAAGGTATGTGGCTTCTTCAGTTTTGTGTAGAAATTCATGCAATGTGTTATTTTATTGTGTTAGGTTTGACAATAACACTGATGGCAGTGGTGGTCTCGGTCAGTAATTGGCTAGCCCGTGCCTGCCGTAAACTATTACTTTGTTCTTTGCTTTCATAACTTTTTCGTGGCAGATGGTTGGAGGGCATCACTGGTACACTCTACTTCTTTTCTCTTGCTTTGGTCTGTAACTGTTGTTTTGTGTCTGTCGTTGTTCCCTTTCCCAACTCCATGTGGCTGCTATTGTGTTGATGTGTTTCTGTATGCTTCCGCATCAGCTGAGAATGTTTCTGAGTATTCTAGAGTCTGCTGGGGGAATGATAGTTGTAAAGTGCAAAGAGCATCATGCTGTAGAATAGGCATCGGCAAGTGTGTTCAAATCATATGTTGAATTAACCGATTCTAAATATTTTGTGGACTAAAGCAGGGGAAATGTGGGGAAAATCAGTATAAAATACCGAAGCTGTCAAAAGTGAGACTAAAACTTACACCACAGCATATGTCATTCAAGTACATTTTGTGAGATGAAATATTAGATCTGTTGCTTCCATCTGGGCTGGAACTAGAAATTTTCATTTTCAAGAGAATTTTGTTATTATTATTTATCAACTCACCACGGCCCACATTCATTATCAATTACTGGGTAGATTCGCGGGTCAGACTGAAATTGCTGGCTGACAAGATCTGACTGGTAGGTCGTAGTTTGCATATGCCTGCTGTAGAGCTGGATATTGTTGTTGTTGTTGTTATTATAATTATTATTATCATTATTATTGTTATTATTTTTATTATTATTGTTGTTATTATTATTATCATTATCATCATTATTATTATCATTTTTATTATTATATCATTGTCATCAACATCATCATCATTATTATTATTACTGTTATCATCATTATCATCATCATCATCGTTATTATTATTATTATTATTATTATTATTATCATTTACTGAAAACATGTTCTCCACACAGGTGCTGTCAGCCAAGGAGACAGTGAGGACTATGATGGATCACATGACCAACCCTCAGTCCTCCACTCACATTGATGTTTCTTCAGGTATTGAGCTTTTCCTGTGCACACAATCCACTGTGAGTGGGTGGTTGGCGGGTGCTCTGGTGTGGTTTGCTCCTTCTTTTCTATAAAAAAAATATATCGTCTCTATCCCCCCTCCTTTTTTTGTGTTTGTTACTCTCTTGTAATGCCTCTAATCTTCGGCACTTATATGACCTTATTGTGTTGCAAGTGCCGTAAGACTCTTACTAAAACTAAACAATCCACTGTTGTTTAAGCACTTTTAGAAGTTTACACACTATACTCTCCATCAATAGAATGGATTAAGTCACGTACTCAGTTCCTACAAAGAAAAAGACTTTTTAACTGTGTACTACTACTCTCATTCTCAAATTTTAGTCTTCATTCTTGAAGAAACACTAAACTGGCTAAGGACTTTTTAGAATGTCTTTTGATGATATCGTTTTAAACATTTTTGGGACACCTGAATAGACATAAGGGTCTTGAACATCTAGCTCTCAATGGCAAAATTGAGGGCAAGCGAGGCAGGGGTAGGCCCAGAATAACATACTTAGGGAACCTAAACAAATGGGTAACAGGGAAAGATCAGGGAAACGTAGCTTTTTTGAGAGCATCCGAGCAAAGGAATGAATGGAAAACCATGATCGCCGATGTCTGTCGCAGATCTGACACTGGATGATGATGATGATTAATTATTTAAGGACATGGGCTGATAGTTTCAAGCTAAAATCAAAGTATCGTCTCGGTACTGAGTGACACAATGGAACCTCATCTAACGACCATCCGTCTAAGATAATCACCTGTACAAACTACCACTCTGTTGATATCTACCCCTTGGCGCTCATATGACCTTACGCAGTTGCAAGCGCGGTAAAAACCGTACTAAAACTAAAACTGTCATTCCACCAAAGTGTTTCGGTCCTGCTGTCAATGTTGAGAAAATGAGATTTTTCCTTCTCCTGTCTCCAAACTTTGGTGGCTTGTGGCCGAGGCCTTTGATATAACAAAACTTCTTTGTTGACCGCTGCCCACAGGAGACAGAGTTGCTCTGATGGTCAACAACTTGGGAGGAACTTCTGTCCTGGAGCTGAACATTGTGGCTAAGGAGGCCATCGAGTACTTGGGTGAGTTTGTCTCTGTGATTGGTGCTTTTCATCCTTTATAACTCATTGTGGTCTCTTGGCGCAATAATGCGACGGTGAAAATTATCCGTTCCGGTGCGCCAGGCCTGAGAAGTCCGTTGCAGTCACTCTCGTGGCTGGGTGACCAGATGAGGTATTTTGTACTGCTGGCTGTGTGACTGCAAAGTTTTAAAAATAAATAATAATAATAAATAATGGTAAATATAGCATTTAAAAATTTTTTCTCCCCACTCAAACACAAGCTCTGTGCTCTTCACGATCTATTTATTACCCCAGCAGACCCTGGGACACTCAGACACATTCTCAGCTTCTGGGGAAGCTTACAGTGCAAGCAGCTGATTAAGCGCTCAAACTCTATCATACTGACAAGATATTTCGCTCTCTATAGTTTGTCTTTGTTTCTCTATCTAGTCTTTAGTGTAGTTCCCACAATCCCTTATTTGACAGTGCAGGGAATAACACATAATTTGTAATCTCAACTTGGTGGGTGGCTTGAGGGTGTCATCAGTAGTTAAGTCTTTTCCCACCCCATTTCTCTCAGATGCCTTGCCCATCTACTGAAAATTGTGGTAATGTGTGTACTTCTCTTCAACTGCAAAGAATTGATTATTTCGATTCTCATGTGCAGAAGTGTAGAGATTGTACCGAGTCTGTCTATCTTTGAACTTTCTCCTAGATTTAGGACAGTGACAATGAATGTGGAAGCGGCTTGCCTGCTCTTTATTAATTTAATACAAATTGTGTAGTCGAAAAAATAAACCTATGCTTGTCAACTATTTTATAGCCAGCAACCACTTTCACCACCTGTAAGATGCTAAAATTTTCCTATCTCCCACCTACATTTCCCTCTGATACAATAAAGTACTATCTTATCTTATCTTACAAGTGGGTAAGAAATCAAGGGGAAGGCTGCGTGATACCCTTAGAAGAGCCACAGAATGATGTGCATTATGTACACGTATAAGTGGGAAGACATGGAATGACATCAAGGGGCTATAGATAGCCCGGAATAGGGAAATGTGGAAAGTGTTTGCTCGTGGCCTATGTCCTGATCCAGGGTGAGAAGGGTAGTGATGATAGTGACCTTCATGTATTTCCTAGTGGGGCATAAAACAACACCTGTCACAACCCGGGTGATACCTCCCCCCCCCCCCCCCCCCAGTCCACCAAATTTACCAAATCACTGGCTATTTAGATTATTTAGGAGGCGGGCTTCCAACCCTGCTTGTCAGGACCAATCCGGGCTGAGAGGAATACATCCCAGGTGAAAGACCGAGATACAAGACTCTCTATAAAAATGTTATCCCCACATTAAAATAGATCTCGGGTCTCCTGCATGCGACAGAGAAGCACCTAACAGCTACCCCACAGACATTCTGACACAAACATTTACAGACCTTTTTACAAACCTTGAGTGCAGGATGAGTTCCTGTTGTTTTTGTTGTCATACGTTTCGTGGACATTTCTTTTGGTGTGGGTGGTTGGCGGGTGCTCTGGTGTGGTTTGCCTCCTTCTTTCCCATCGAACGTCTATCGTCCTTCTCTCTCCTCCTCCTTTTTTGTGTATGTTACTCTCTTGTAACACCTCTAATCTTCGGCACTTATGTGACCTTATTGTGTTGCAAGTGCTGTAAAACTCTTACTAAAACTAAACTTTCTGTTGGTGAGAAGTGAGACGGGTTTGTTTTCAGAGCGGCGCGGTGTGTCTGTGGAGAGAGCGTACTGTGGCACGTACATGACTTCTCTCGAGATGGCCGGCGTGTCGATCACTGTGCTCCACATTGACGACAGAATCAGAGCATTTCTGGGTAAGTGTTGGGGCTGTAAAGTAAAAAAAGTAATGTTGTTCCCGCATCCGATCCGGACATTGGGGATTGCCTTGTTAGTGAGACAACTTCCTGGGCCTTCTGCATATTGTGGTAGGGTTTCCAGTTCCTTTCCACGACGCCTTTACTTCCCCAACTCGAAGTTACAGTATAACATGGATAGCTCGATTTTGTGGGGACCGGCCTCAGTAGTTTGAGGGATCCATAGTTCGAAGTATATCTTACAAAGATAAAGAAGAAGAAAAATGGGCACGGCAAGCACAGTTCGACTAATGCATGATTTCGAGTCTTCTGTGTTTGACCTATCCATGTTATACTGTGTATTAAATGGCTTCCCGAAATTTGAAAGTGGCGTTTTCAAAGATAAAATATTTGTTAAATAATAGAAGTGCATCATTTAGTTTCTATTTTCTGTATCGTGACTTGTTCAGTTAGTTTGTTCTGTGCAAAGTTGATTTTATTGGACATTTTCTTGGGTTGGAACATACTGTAGAGAAAAATTCCTTTTTTTAATTTCATGGGAGTTCGATTTTTGCGAGTTTTATACTGATAAATTTTCTTTTTAAAAAACTGTACATTTATCAGTACGATTACAATTTGAAATATGATCTACTTTATGATCAAACTTGTTTTGTTTTGTTTTGTAAGTAGGTTATCTGCCATTTGTCAATCGATGATGAATCACTTTTGTATTACACATTTTCAACAGGGCAGAGCTCAGTGTGTGAAACTGACACCCACCCGAGACAATCACCGGTACCAACAACCACCTCGCATTTTTTCTAATTTACAATGACACTGTCCAAGACATCCAGCTGTCTAAGACAACCATCTTTCTCTTTAACAATGGGTGGCTGTTATGGACCGTTTTGACTTTAATTTGTACTTTTCAAAGCTCCATCACAGTTAAGTTGTGACTAGTTGTTTAGTGTTCTGGTTTGCTATGAGTATTTTCTCTACAATAATAATAAATGACATTTATATATTGAGCTCAACCACGATTATAGTACACAGGCTCTGAGCGCTTTACAATACAAACTACAGTAACATAAAACATTGTTTTCTGACCAAAAGAAAATCTCTCTAAATATTCATCTTATTAATTTAAAAACAGAAATGACTTCAGCTGACATTAGAATGAATCAAAGGATTTGATCTCTTCAATTCTTTCTCTTGAGATCTTGTTTCGGACGATGTCCTCACCACGTCCCCCCCCCCCCCCCCCCGGACAGTGCTACTGATTGAAGTTGTCTGTAGGCTGTTCCCAAAGGGGGGGATATTAACATGTTCTTATGCACAGCAGAATTGTAAATGGGCTGATTTATCAATGTAATGCTCACACTGTGCCGGAACAACATAGGGGGAACTGATGCTTTTTCTATCCTCATCCTGACTATCGTCATTTTTCTTCTACTTCCTTTGTATGTTTGCCACTCTCTTGTGAACTTCTATTTCCGGGGTGCCTTGATAGTCGAAGCAGACTTTGTGCTGTTGAGGCTAGAGAGGTGAGCAGAGTTCAGTAAGCCTGGTTCCCCGTTTGGACTTCTCTGTTGACATCCACCCCTATTGGCGCTCATATGACCTTATGCAGTTGCGAGCACCGTAAACCTTACTAAAATTAAACTAACAAACCGCGTCTTCTCCTTGATCAGATTTCCCGACAGATGCTCCGGGCTGGAAGTCGTGCTACTTGCCCCCGGGCGCGACAGTCAGGATAACCCCGCCTCTGGTCAAGGTTCAGCTGGATGACCAAATCCTGTCTGATGCTGGTGCCGGTAAACTTGACGCAGGTGATCTATTTATTCTCAAGCTACCTTGTGGTTAAGTTTTAGCGAGAGTTTTACGGCACTTGCAACACAATAAGGTCATATAAGTGCCGAAAAATCAATGTCTCAAGAAGAGAGTAACATACACAAAAAAGAAGGAGGGGAGATAAGGATGATGGATGATTTTGTTTTGTTTTAGTAAGAGTTTTACAGCATCCATATATATATTATATATATATATATATATATATATATATATAGAGAGAGAGAGAGAGAGAGAGAGAGAGAGAGAGAGAGAGATATAGATAGATAGATAGATAGTGGAGTGGCTTGAACTGAATGCGGTTAATCAGAAACTGCGGTGAACTGAAAGAAATAATAATCCTCAATCTTTTTCTTCTATTTGAGAAACCTCTTTAACTCATTCGCTACATATTATTTTGGGCTTATGGGCAAATTTTTTTCTGGAGGGCGAAATGAGATGATGACTAGTGCGCAGTTCAAAAGTCTTTAGGGCCACAAATTCAAATGAATATCAACGTATTATACACCTAAATTTCCATGTTTTTTGTAGAGTACATCTGTATTGTTTATTTGAGTATTTTTCAACTTTGGATCCTGTAAGACGCAATTATGCAACACAATTTTACTTAGATACGGTTAAAATTTGAAAATAACAAATTTATCATCTTTGGTGAAACTCAAAAAAATATGTTTGCATGGCTCGGCGTAGCGAATGAGGTAAACCAAAACTGCGGCTAGACTGAAGAAAATCTAACGGTCCAGCAGATTTTGGTTTAAGCGGACTCCTCTGTGTCTGTCACTGTTTGTAAGCTGTTTACTGTTTGTAAGCTATTTCTTTGTAAGCTATTTACTGTTCGTAAGCTATTTACTGTTTGTAAGATGTTTACTGTTTGTAAGAAGTTTGGAAAATGTTTACTGTTTGTAAGCTGTTTACTGTTTGTAAGATGTTTACTGTTTGTAAGAAGTTTAATGTTTGTGAGATGTTTTCTGTTTTTGAGCTGTTTACTGTTTGTAAGCTGTTTGCTGTTTGTAAGATATTTACTATTTGTAAGATGTTTACTGTTTGTGAGATGTTTACTGTTTGTAAGCTATATTAACTGTTTACAAGATATTTACTATTTGTAAGATGTAATATTAGCTGTTTACTGTTTGTAAGATGTAAGCTGTTTACTGTTTGTAAGCTGTTTACTATTACTGTTTGTAAGCTGTTTACTGTTTGAAAGATGATTACTTCTTTGTAAGCTGTTTATTACATGCCCCACAGCTGCGAGTGCGCTGGTTTACAAGTCCATCAAGCACGTCTGCGAGCGCCTGGTGTCCAGCGAGGCCCACCTCAATGACCTTGACACTCAGTCTGGGGACGGCGACTGTGGCTCGACTGTGGCCAGAGGCGCCAGAGGTACAGTAATGGAGATGATAATAATAAAATTTTTGAAAATCTTTTAAGTCTCCAAGGTTGTTGTTGTTTTTTTGTTTTTTTGCAGTCTACAATGATGATGATAATAATAATCATAATATTAATATATCAATATGCTGTGTCTTTGGGAAACACACATTGCACCAATTTTTCCCATTTCACCGTGGTGGGAATGGATACCCGACTGTAGAAAGTGGAAGAGCTTGTCAGTTTGTTAATGTTTGAGTGCTTAATTGGCTGCTTGCATTGTGTGCTTCCCAGGTAGCAAAGAATGTTTTGGAGTTTTCTAGGGTCTGCTGGGGTAATGATATAGTTTGCAAAGTGCATTGAGCTTGCTGTTAAAGACAGATATATATATATATATATATATATATATACACTTCGTAAAAGCTGTTTATTTATTATTGCCAATTATTTTTACTGTTAATCAATCTCTTGTCTGAGTGAATTGACCACAGTGTTGTGTGATCTCCATCTAGCGGGTGGTTGGAGGGCGCCACTGTTAGGTCTTACTTTGTTATTTTCCCTCTGTTGATTTTGTTTGTCTGTCTTACTTTCTCTCTTGGCGCTCATATGACCTTATGCAGTTGCGAGCGCCGTAAAACCCTCTACTATAAAAAAAACACAAAAAAACTTTCTCTCAGCACTGAATGATAAATAACCATTATAGTGTCGATGTGCTTCTCTTTTGTTACAGAGAATGATGGAAAGAAAAGGGAAAGGAGGAAAGTGTTTGTTCGTGGCCTTTGCCTAATGCAGGCTCAGAAAGGCTTTGGTGATGATGGTGGTGATGATGGTGATGATGATTATGGTGATTATGGTGATTATGATGATGATAATTATGGTGATTATGATGATGATGATGCTGTTTATTCAAACAAACCAACAAAATCTCTCCTTCTCCTCCCACAGCCATCCTGTCCAAGCTAGGCTCGGCGGAGCAGCCCGGTCTCCCTGTGGACTGTCCACTCACACTGGCTCTGAGGCTGGGGCAGATCGCTGAGGACACCATGGGAGGATCCTCCGGGGCTGTGAGTTGAAGATAATAATAAAAATAATAATAGTAATAATAATAATAAATAGTATTTATGCTGCGAATTTCCATTTTCTAAAAAATGCTCAATGCGAATTTCATCAAGAAAGACATCACATCTTAAAAATTAATCGACATGTGTGCACGTAAAACACAGTATTATGTTAATGCACAAACACACATACAAAAACGCATGTGTGTGCGAGAATGCCTATATGTACGTACTCTCTCACACATTATCCCTTCCTCACGCATCTATACACTACATACACACATAATATGTTTGCACTCACAAACAGACTCTTAACCACACGTGTTTTATATAAATGAACAATTTATACATTTGTGTTGATATAAGATGTACATCTCTACGTCGTGCAACTTTTCCTGTTCCTTTTGGTCTTGGCTTTGAGAGTAAAATGAAATAATAGAGGGTCATGGTTATGAGGTTACATTATAAATCTGTCTAAAGACATCATTAGGAGCCTCTAGAGATGTGCATACATGTATTTCTTGTACATCATAAAATCAATTAATTTCAATGTGGTTTATTCATCCTGATCTCTCTTCCTTTTTTTAAATGTTTGTTACTAGTTAGTTTTAGTAGATGTTTTACGGCGCTCGCAACTGCATAAGGTCATATGAGCACCAGAAGATTAGCGTGTAACAAGAGAGTAACAAACATAAAAAACAAGAAGGGAAGATAAGGACGATAGATCTTTGATAGGAAAGAAGAAGCAAACCACACTAGAGCACCCGCCAACCACTCACATGTTTGTTACTGTCTTGTAACACCTCTAAACTTCGGCACTTCTACGGCCTTATTGTGTTGCAAGTGCCGGAAAACTCCTAGTAAAACTAAAATTATAGACTACAAATCAACCGCCCAGTTGGTTTCCCCCAGATTCTATCTTGTCTTGAATTATGTTCCAGCTGTACAGCTTATTTTTCACGGGCGCGTCCCAGGAGCTGAAGACTCTCACGGCTGACAGCTTGGCCAAAGCCGTGGACTCTGGGCTGAAGGCTTTGATGAAGTAAGGGAAACCAGAGGAAGCTATACCCATGTTTTGTATCTGTATTTATAATAATAATGATAGATAGCTTTTGTATAGCGCAAATCCCGGCTCAACAGCAAGCTCTATGCGCTTCACAATCTATACTATTTATTACCCCGGCAGACCTGAGAGTGAGAGCATTCTGAAACAAACTCAACTTCCTGGGAAGCATACAGTGCAAGCAGCCATTTATAGTCATTTCATTATCAATCATCTTCATCAATGCCTTTCATCCCTGGCAGGATATAATAGGCCACATACAAGCTCCTTCCATTTTTCTCTGTCCTGGGTGAGCTTCATCTCTCTCATGTCCCGTTCCACACATCTCCTCCATGTATTACATTTGGCTTGTCTTAAAAAAACAACCTCGTGATCCAAGTGAAGTAAAAGAATGTTAGTCTTTTTTCTTTTTTTTTTAATAGTAGAGGGTTTTACGGCGCTCGCAACTGCAGAAGGTCATATGAGCGCCAAGTGTTAGTCTTGATGTGTGATAAGAATGTCAAAGACTCAATACCATGATACAATTTCTACCCACTGTTGATTTTTCAGTACTTACTTAGTTTCCAATATATATATCGCTTTGTTTCTATTATAATTATGTCTTTGAGTTGTATGAGAAGCCTGCACTGTGTATGGGTTGGCTCATAGTGTCATCTATTTCTGAGTTCACTCATGACACATCTTCTCCATTGCCTCATCGTAACAGTAACTGGTGGCTGTGGTGTTGCTGCTAGTATATATGACAATGTATGATTGCAATAATATGATATAATACCACTGATGCCAGAGGAATTAGGTCAAGTAAATCTATTTCTTTTTGCTCTCCCATTAAAAGAAGGTTGAAGTAGTGAGTTTACTTTTTTTTTTTTTATCTTTTAAAATAAACAATAATGTATAATGTTTCCGACAATTCATTCTGTGGTCTTTTTTTTCAGGTACGGAGGAGCAAAGCCAGGCCAGAGAACTATGGTATGATTGATCATTTCATTTCACTACAAATTAGAATGCTCATCTCTTTTATTGATTGTTTTGTCAAGTTGTGCACGTAATGGAATGTGGAGACTTTCAATTATATATATATATATATATAGATATAGATATAGATATCATACTTCGTAGTGATTAGATTTCTTCTAAGAGTTCAAACTTACACCTTTAACACTTTGCCATAACATTATGGGGAAAATCCAAAGAAATTGGGAGGTAAACCTCGCCGATCGGCGAGATGAGGTGGCAAAGTGTTAACCCTTACAGTGTGTTGTGTTGTTTGATGACCTCTCACTCAACTACCCCTGAGATCTTGGAAACAGAAATTCTATTTTGTTTTTCTTTCCCTGTGCCCAGATTGATCCTATTGATGCGGCCAGTAAAAGTCTGAGTCAAAACAGCCAGCTGTCCTTGTCCGAGGCTGTGAAAGTGGCGGCAAAGGTAGGCTACTTTCATTGTCTGTTTGTGCCTGGATTGATTCTTTTGGAGGATGTTGCTTGATCCTGTCTCATTCAAAAACTTATTTTATGTATTATATACCATGATAACAAACTACAGTCTTTTGATTACTATATCAGGGGCTCTAGTCGCTAAGTGAGTAGTGAGTTCAGACTCAAAAGCAATGTCAAGCAAGTGTCGGTGAAACGGGGATCAGATGGGTGGTCACTGGGGTGTGTCTTTGAGCAAGACTCGACTACCCTTAAAAAACGGGGCGCTGCACAGTGGTGACCAGCAATGGCATGCTTGTGAAATTGTTCTGTGTAAGCGTGTAATATCTGTATATCTCATCTACCTTTTCTTATCCGTCCCTAGGCCAGCGAGGCCATGGCACAGAGCACGGCAGGGATGGACGCTCAGGCCGGCCGAGCCAGCTACGTCAACAAAGAACTGTTGACCAAACCAGACCCAGGGGCCGTGGCAGTGGCTATGTGGATGACCGCTATCGCCGATGCTCTGTGAAGTCTGTACCGGTACCGTAGTGTGCACACAGAGCTGTGACGACTGCTATCGCCGATGCTCTGTGAAGTCTGTACAGTACCATAGTGCGCACACAGTGCAGTGGTGACCGTTCTGTAGTTGTCTTTGTAACTGACGCTCTGTAGTAGTTATCTTTGCAACCGATGCCCTGAAGTGCCACTGACCGATGGTCATGCAGTGGTGATGTCAGGGCTTGGGGAAATTTTGCTCAATATTTGTGGCAGAAAAATACTTATGTTGCTCTATTGATTGTTGTTTTGCGAGGACTATTGTGAAGCCTATATTAGAAGTGGAAAAAGAGATTATGTTGCTCTATTGATTGTTGTTTTGCGAGGACTATTGTGAAGCCTATATTAGAAGTGGGAAAAGAGATTATGTTGCTCTATTGATTGTTGTTTTGCGAGGACTATTGTGAAGCCTATATTAGAAGTGGAAAAAGAGCATTTGTGCCATGTTTCCGTTATTTTCTCCTACTTTAAAAAATGCCAGTACTGCTGTAAGTACTATTTAGTATTATATAAAAATTATTGTAGATCTATAAAATATTATATCAATTATATAACACTAATAAAATAATATAATTCAGGATCAAACAGTCTTGAGAATAAATATATATAATATATATGTTTTGTTTCGTTGTAAATGTTCCTTGTTTTTAAAGTTTTACAGATTTCAGAGAAATCTATTTAATCTTTGGGTTTTTCTGCAATCACCGTGGTTACGGTTGTGATTCATTACCACTTCTGAGTGCTGCTCTCCACTTTCATGTTCTGTACCGGTGTACTAAATGACAGGATTAGAGGAACTCCTTAGTTTCAATCTGACTCTAGTTTTGTTACTGATACTGACAGAAGCAGTCTTTACTTCCTATATATATATATATATATACAGTCAAACCTGTGTAAGACGACCACCCATTGTCAAGGAGAAAAGTGGCCGTATAAGACAGGTGGCCGTCTTAGGCAGGACTGATCAAGATGAAGAAAACAAACAATTCCCATCTGAGGTCCCAATTGAAAGAAGCCGCATTGTTGTGGTCTTAATTGTTGTTGTTGTTGGTTTGTATTTTGTTTGTAATTTTTATTTTGTTGCTGATTTTGCACAATGGTGACAATAAAACGAAATGTATCAGACGTGGAAGCCCGAGTGCCATGTTAAAACAAACACATGGGTCGCCACCACTCGGAGAACGAGCGACGCTTCTGTCACAAGTTCACGTCAACGTCCATTGTTACAGACTGGGTAAACAGTGACCACTCATCTCACTTACGATTTGTGTATGAGTGCTGGGCGGGGCTTATAGGTTATGAGGAATCACATGCTTACCTCACCAGCAGCTGAAAATTGGTAGCTATTGGTCAACAGTGGGAGGGGCCTACGCAACATGATCGGTTGGAGGGACTACCTAACAACAACGACAGATGATTGAATTATGACGGCTCGCCCACAACGCCCGGGGCCAATGCACAATTTATCACAAAACGCAATGAAGTCACTAAGGTGGCCGTCTAAGACAGGTGTTATTGCTTAATGTGATAGGGGTTGTGTGTTAAAATATGGTGGCCGCGGCCGCGTTGGACAGGTGCCCGTTTTACACAGTTAAATTATAAAGCAAAAACGCAAGGGGGGAAATGGATAGTGGCCGTTTGTACAGGTGGCCGTCTTATAGAGGTGGCCGTCAGGGCAGGTTTGACTGTATATATATATATATATATATATATATATATATATATATATATATATACGTAGGATATGTGTTGGGGTGGAGGGTGTTGTGTTTGGTTACAATATGATACTGCGTATAGTTTTAAACTTTTTATTTTTGTCCCGACGTTCATTTTTATTGATTGATTTCGTTCATCAGACATTTTTAATAGATTAGAATAGAAGGTAGGAGTATATAATTCTTCAGTAATATTGTATTTTTTTCCACGCATTAATCCTGCATCCAAAGTGTTAGAGTTGACTACGGATGAGTTGATATGTCATGGGGGAGGGAAAAAAAGATCAACTCATCCAAAGTTCACCTTAATCGTTGAGAATTGTAGAAGAAGAGGTGCTGGGACCCGAGAAAAAGATCAACTTAACCAAAGATCAACTCAAGTGAGTCCAACACAAGCGGAGTCGGCTCTAGCTTACTTTTATTTATGATGAAAGCAATAGTAGCAGTAGACCTTTAATATATATATATATATATATATGTATATATAATTTCATTTAATGTGTTATTTTTAATTTGTGAGGAGTTTTATCTTTGTACAAGAAAAGAGCTTAGTGTTGTATGGTGAGACCAGAGGAAGCAGCCACTTCAAAAAGTGTTAATTGATGAAACTTGTTGTACTATGTTTGGGCAGATAAGCACACCGCTTTATTAAACGGAAAGACGCTGCTGTCTGCGGCCGGTTGTAGGGTTTGTTACCTTTACAAGCTGCTTGCTATTACTATAATATATATGTGTGTCACGACACGGTGGAATCAGGCTCTCATCAATTTTTTGGCATGTAGAGTTATTGGTATCATCTTAAAGCTTGTTCATTTGTCTTGCTTTGGATGAAAAAAATATCCTTTTATCTTGAATACCAGTTGAGATATAGGAGGTGGGGGTCACTTGGTTTCAGAGGTAAAATTAGTGAGAAAATGACCACCAAAGATGGGTTATTTCCTTAGTTTGAGAGTCCGTGGAAACTGAAAAATTACATTTTTGAGTGCCTTTAATCAAAGTTTTTCAGTAAAATCTACACACAAATTTGTTATTTAATGGGCATGAAAGGTGCCGCCCCCCCCCCCCCCCCCCCAAATTCAATAAAAATTCACAAACCTCCGGAAAAATGCCATTTTCTTCACTTTAATTATTTTGACGAGCGCCTGATTTCCCCACACTGCCTCACATACGTTTACTTTTCTTTTTTTGACCTTGCAAGCTACTGCATTGTTTTAGAATTCTCTTCCACCTTGGATGTTGTTGATAAAGTTCATCATCAAGTCATGATGGATGAACTGTTGCTATTATTATCCTGATGCGTTGTTATGTTATTTGCATGAAACATTCCTATATAAAATCTATATATATATATGCTTTACATGATTACTGTGCTGAAAACTTACATGTAATGAACACTTTATCCCAAAATTGACTATTTTTGTCAAAGTTCTGTGATTTCAAACTGGAACAAAATGTTCTTACTTTAGATAAGAAACTAAAAGTCAAAGTGAGCAAATTAGAAACAAAGGACATTAATTGTAATTACTAATACTGTAGTATACCGGTACGGTACTGTAAACAGTACCTCTGTTAAACTTCAAAGTAGACCTACTTGTATTTTTAGTGGCGTTTACATTCTATCTAACCATTTCTTATTTTTCTGCTCCAACTCCAACAAGCTTTTTAAAAAAGATTCTATAGGTAATAGGTAGACTGCTGTTGTATTTTACTTATCCCGCTGCTTGTCAATATTTTACGGCTGGCACCCACTTTTGCCACTGATAAGAGGCTAAAATTGTTGTACTGATACCTTCCACCTACATGTGACTACATGTATTTCCAAGTGCGGCATAAAATAACACCTGTCACTGTCAGTACCCCGGTGATCCAAAACGTCCGTCAAAATAAAATTACCAAAAAAAATTACCAAATCACCCACTGGTGGGCAAGGTTGGCAATAATAATGGCAAGCACTGTGTTATTTATTATACAGGTAGTATTAACAGTAGAAAGAGAAGACCTACAAAAAGTTTATCCTTTTTAGAACGACAAAATTAAGTCATAGTTAATTACAAGTAAGTTGGTTTTATTAAAGCTACATTTTTAAAGGAACAGATGAAGATAACAGTAACACCAAGTTAACCAAACAGCAGTTGTAACAACAACAAAAAGAAGTAGGCCTACGACGGAATCCGCTGAAACTTAAACCAAATACGGTTAATTCTAAAACACAGATAAACAAAAACCGAAAGAAAATGGAATCCGTAACTTTTTTTCTTTACTATTTGAGCAATCTCTCACTGAAGATTTAAGTTGAAGTAGATTCTACTGTGGCCAACTCTACAAAAGCAGATGGCGCCATAAAGCCAGTCAAGTACTTGCTTTATTTAAAATGATAATGACACTGACAATATAATAGTTTCCTAACTAACTCTGCCCGGGATAGCAGAAAAACCATAAAACTTGCCATGGTTTTTTCTTTTACATTTGTTATGATTTTCTTTTTGTTTTGAAATGAGACTCATGATTGTTCACAAATCTCTATCAAATGATATTAATAAACTGAATTCCTGCAATAGTCACCCTTCATATTGTTGTAGTTCAATCATGTGATATGTAGGCCTACTAACTGTGAGAGATACATTTGCTGCCTCTTTTTGTACAATTCAAAATTTAAATAGAACAGGAATTTTGAAATTGGACTTGTTTTTTTTGTCTGTCTGTTGGTTGTTGTTGTTTGTTGTTTTTTTGGAGGGGGGGGTTAAACCGACAAAATGAAATAACAGTTTTCAGATGTATAATTTTAAATTAACAATGCCTACTTTTTATAACTTTAATTGTAAAAATCCTACAGGGAGAAGTAGCTGGGAACTTGATCAAATGGACTCTTTGAAGGTATGTGTTTGTAAAATTAATTATCCCCTGATCTCACCGCAAGCAAAGTCCAGCATATAATATAAAATTTTCTGATAGAAAGAAGCAGTATTCATTGCTTCGAAGAAAATGGACCCTTGCCACAATCAATTTTGAAAATGAAGATAGGAACTATGGGTTGACAAAATTATCATCATAAATAATATTGTTAATGATAATGTTATGCTGTACCAATACTTTTTCAAATTGTTCCACAGTGCCTCAATTTTGTTCATCTACCTTGTGCAATTACTGAATTCTGTTGTAAAAATAATCACCAATGATTATCATTTTTATTACATCTTTCACTAATTATATATATTCAGGATAGAGTAGTCAGATTCAAAGTACGTGAAGATTTATTATGATAAAGAGCAGTTGGAGAGTTGCAGTGTTCATCTTGCATCCTGGATTTGTTCATATATATAATTGCTCTTTTTACATGGTGCTGGTGAGCACTGGTGTTATGCCTTTTCCTCTATCCTAATCCTTGACAAACAAGTGGGTAATTTGTACACAGTCAAACCAGCACTAACACTGTGACATCCTTTTGTTTTCCCTCTATAATATTCTTAAAGTTAACCCATCTATAGAGCAGTTCCCATCCAATGGGTCGCGGGTCAATCATTTTCGTGACCAGACAGCCTCAAAACCTGCTACCCGTAGTTGTAGGGATCACCTGCTACAGAAGCTTTCCACCACCTCATTCTCAGTAGACAAGACAGACTGAGTGTGTACATTCAGTCAGTCATCAATGCAAAGAAGCAGTTGGGCTTATCAACTGCTGTTGTTGGTGGTTTCATATATGTGCATGATGTATTGTAGACTCTGTCCAGAGCAGCAGGGACTTGCCCAGTTTGTCATTGTCACAATTTCGAGTATTGATGACAGTCATAATTACAGCACTTTAACACTGTTGTTGTAACTTTAAGCTTTTTATTCTCCACCTTCAAATGGCGATGTAGAGATAATCCCTCT